TTCAGAGCTTTTATCAGACTTTCATGTTATTGCCACACTAAGACTTCCGCTAAAACTTTCAGACTTTGTTCCGACATCAGTCGGATAATAAATTATAACCGTTTCACGTTTCAGTCTTAAATTCTAACGGTTTTCAAAAGTCATGTTTTCACGGTAACCCCCGAATCAGTTTCGCAAATTAAAAAGCTAGTTTATTTATTTATTTAATTATTCAGAATATTTGCGAAAAACCGCGTACTCTGGTGTATTAGTCAGTCGGGGCGTTACAGGGGCTGCCCGAGAATGCAAAGGACGTTGCTTTTCAGTCGGACGGACGTCGGGTTCTCCAAACGGCTGCCGGAAAGTGGTTGTGCTTCCCGGCGTTAATGGTGGATGGCTACGGGCGTCGCGCTGAACGGAGGCCGCTCGCTGATCGAAGGTCGTGAACTAAGCAGGGGATAGGGGAAGATGCGCGACGGTGGTCGTTGTTGGTCGCGCACGTCGGAGCTCGCCGGAATCAATGGCGAAGCGGCAAGATGAGGATGATGATGGTGGTCTGCTACTTGCGAGAAGGAGAGAGAGAGAGAGAGCTGAGAGATAGGTTTCTGAGTTGAGATGAAGAATTTTGAACTGAAACGTAAGTAGACGAGAGAGAGGGAGATAAGATGAGAGAAAGTGCGAGATCAAGGAGAAGAACAAAATTGCGACAGACTTTCAAAATGAAGGACTCGGTCGCAGGGAGATAATATATTTGATCGAAATTCGACATGCGGGCTTAAGGAGAAACAACAGATTTGTACTTGGGCCAGGCCTAAATAATTTATAAGGGTATTGGGCCAAAAAGAAACTCTTAAAATCCACTTGGGTCTAGGGTTATTAAAAGAATTGGGCCAAGGCATTAGCATAGCAATAGGGCTTGAATTTAATCATCCGAATGGACCGAAAATGCTACCGGTAATGGGGCCGAAAATATTATATACGCGATAATAAGAATTTCGATCGATTCGATACAAATAAATATGACCGACATATTTGTATATATAATACGCACAATAATTATGTATATATATATATAGTAATAATAATCATTTAAATCATTTAACAACAATTAGACAGATTAGACATATACGAGCACATAATCAAACAAGAAATTAGTAAACGAGTATGAATATAAAAATTCAAGAAAATAAAAATAAATAGATAATCTCAAAATAATCCAGGACAAATGGGGAGCTACAATACTACCCACCTTAAAAGGAATTCTGACCTCGGAATTCGAAAGAAAAACAAATCCACTAGACTACAAAAGAGTACATAAAGGGATCCAAAAGCGAAGTTCGGATATCTCCTCCTAAGCTTGGCCTCGATCTCCCAAGTCGCCTCGGTCTCATCGTTTCGGCTCCATAGCACCTTCACCAAACTCACTACCCGGTTCCTCAGCCAATGGACCTTCTGGTCCAGTACGGCAACCGACACCTCCTCATAGTTGAGGTCTCACTCGACCTGCAGCTCGTCGAAGTCCACCACATGGTCGGGATTATGTACATATCTACGCAGCATGGATACATGAAATACATCGTGCACTCCCGACAAGTCCGGTGGCAAAGCTAGCCGATACACCAAGTCTTTGACTCGAGCAAGGATCTCAAAAGGCTCGATATAGCGAGGCCAAAGCTTCCCCTTCTTCCCGAAGCGAATCACACCCTTCATGGGCGAGATCTTCAGGAAGACATGATCACCTACAGCATACTCGTGCTCTTGCCTCTTCCGGTCGGTATAAACCTTCCGCCTCTCCTGGGCAGACTTGATCCTCTTCCGGATCTCATCAACACCGAAGTCGTGCGAATGAACTCCGGGCCCATAATCTCTCTCCAACTTCACCCCAATAAATAGAAGTCCGAACCTTTCGCCCGTAAAGAGCCTCGTACGGTGCCATCTTGATCGAGGAATGATAATTGTTATTATAAGCCATCTCGACCAATGGCAAAGAATGCTTCTAGGTTAGACTACGGTCCAAGACCACAGCCCTAAGAATGTCCTCCAAGTACTGGATCGTTCGCTCCGACTGACCATCTGTTTGAGGATGAAAGGTTGTACTGAACTCCAACCTTGTCCCCATGGCTCGGTGCAACGTCTTCCAGAACTATCCGGTGAATTTCACGTCTCGGTGAGACACAATATCCAAGGGAACCCCATGAAGTCGAACAATCTCGTCTACGTACAACTTGGCGTAATCACTGGCCTTCATAGTCATTCGGACGGGCAAGAAGTGGGCAGACTTCGTAAGTCTAT